AGTTTCGAACTTCTGACCTTGCGGTTCGCAGCCCGATTCGTAACCACTAGGCTACCAGAGCTCCTTTTTATAAATCTAAAATACTAACTTTATTGTGTTTCCTTCCTTTTCCATTCCTCTTAACACCTTTTTCATTTCTTACTGCTTAAGAAAACTTAGTTATAATACATTAAATATTATTAGTAATAGTCTGTCTCTGTATTTTGTTCTTGGTTTTTAAAAATGTACCACCTTGAGTAACTACAAATATTAGGCTATATTCATTTGAAAAGTGATGATTGTGTTTTGAGGGGAATTTATTGAAACTCTAGTAGAACTTTTCTTATTTTTCTGAAAAGTGTCAGTGAGTATGTTTTATATTACCTTAGTATACTTTTAACACACATTTTTAAGTAGTAAACGTATTTAAATGGCTCAAAAATGGCAACATGAGAGTGATATCAGCAAGATGGCACAAAGTAGGCATCTTCACCTCTCAGGCCAACAGAAACATCAGAAACTAGCAAAAACTGTCCGAATCAACTTCGTCAGAGCTTTAGAAAACAGTCAAAGGTTTACAGCACCCAAACAAATATTAAATCAATAAAAAGCCAACTTAAAAACAATTCTAATCCTTTTCATGTTCAGTAAACATGGGTGGGAGTTTACAGAGCAAACTGGCAGTCCTTTCAATGATTCATATACACGTGTTGTAGCATGCCACTGATTGCAACCCCCACAGTGAAAGAGCCCTCTTCCCATTTCCTCCCAAAGTTCCACGTTTCCAGTTGTCTTTCCTTCCTATGCTTCCTTTGGAGCTTTATACCTGGGCAAACGCTGCCCTTGTAATTTTGTATGGTTGGTTGTGCTAAGGAATGTGTACCTCCCTGATGTTACTTTTCACCTTCCAGGGCTATCTATTGTCTGAATGAAAAGTTGACCAAAAAGGCTGACTTCAGTTCCAGGCTTAACAGTAGAGCTAAAAAATAAATTTAGCAAAGTTGCAGGATATAAGATCAACACAAAAAAAAAAGCACTTGGGTTTCTATATAACAGAAACAAATCATCTGAAAAGGAAATTAAGAACTAGACTTTATTAATAATAGCATCTAAAAAACATCCAGGAATAAACAACGTATTGCCATAGGCAAATCTGCTGCAAAAGACTTCTTTAAAGTGTTTAAAAGCAAAGATGTCAGTTTGAGGACTAAGGTGTGCCTGACCCATACCACAGTATTTTCAATAGCCTCATATGCATGTGTAAGTTGGACAGTGAATAAGGAAGACTATAGAAGAATTGATGCATTTGAGTTCTGGTGTTGGAAAAAAACATTAAAAGTGCCATGGACTGCCAGAAGAACAAACAAATCTGTGTTGGAAGAACTACAACCACAACTCCTGAGAAGCCAGGATGACAAGACTTCATCTCTCATACCTCGGACATATTATCAGGAGGGACCAGTCCCTGGAGAAGGACATTATGTTTGGTAAAGTGGAGGGTCAGCAAAAAAGAGGGAAATCCCAATGCGATGGATTAGCACAGTGCCAATGGCAATTGCCTTAAGTGTACCAACAGTTATGAAGACAGTGCAGGACTGGGAGCATTCCATCCGTTCCGTTGCGCAGAGAGTTATCACAGGTAAAAACTGACTCAATGATACCTTGCAACAAAGAATAAACTTAACCAAAGAAGTACAAAACTTGTAAAATGAGAACTACAAAACACTCCTGACAGAAATTAAAGACTTAAACAAAGGAAAAGATACCTTGGTTCATGGATTGGAAGACTAAATACTGTTAAAATGTCAATACTACCCAAAGTGGTTGATGAGGGGGTACTAAAAAGTTCATGGGGGAAAAAAGGAATTAAATGATAATAAAAGGTTTCCATGACACCACTTTTTGATACCCCTCCTCATGCAGACTAAATTTAATTCCTATTAAAAGCCTTTTTTTTTTTTTTAAACACAAATGGAAAACTCAAACCCAGTACCATCAACTCAATTCCAACTCATAGCAACTCTGTAGGACAGAGGGCTCCACAGAATTTCTGAGGCTGTAAATCATTACAGAAGCAACTGCCTCATCTTCTGCCCTAACATTTGCGCGATTCAAACTGCCCACCCGTTGGTTAACAGCCCAATGCTTAACTTGCTGCTTCTAGAAATGGAAAAGCTAACTGTCAAATCCGTATGGAATTGGAAGGGGCCTCAGAATACCAAAACAATCTAAAAAGAAGAACAAAGTAAAAGAACTCAGTTCTGAATTTCAAAATTCACTATAAAGCTATAATAATAAAAACAGTAGGATACTAACATAAAAATAGATAGAGATAAGTAGAATAAAACTGAGTTCAAAAATAAACCCACACATCTATGGCCAACTGATATGATGTCAAGCCTATTCAGTGGCATCTTCAACAAAGGATAATGGGACAATTAGGTTTCTACACACACAAGAATGAAGGCCCCACCCACACACTATATACAAAAATTAACTCAAAATGGATCCAAGACCTAAATATAAGAGCTAAAACCATAAAACTCTTAAAGAAAACATAGGAGTAAGTATTAATGCTTAGGTTTTTACATGCAATGCCAACAGCAATTTCACTTCATTAGATCTTTTATTGCTATTGTTGATTTTGCGGAAACAGCAATTATGCCCACGCCTGTACCACTTGATCAATGATAATCTGCAGCCAACATCAGACAAGGCTGCCCTGGGCTACACTGTATAAACAGCTAACAGGGAATCATGTACACACTTCCAGACTCTATCACATCCATCAGGAGACACAGGAGAAGATACTAACATAACACACAGCTATCGATTAAATAAGGAGCTCTGATAGCATAGTGGTTACAAATCAGGCTGTGAACCTTAAGGTCAGCGGTTCGAAACTACCAGCTGTTTCGCGGGAGAAAGATGAGGTTTTCTGC